CCAGAGCATGCCCTCGCGGTGCGTGTTCTTCGTTTCCCAAGCCATGCCTGGTGGACAGAGGCCATCCGTGAGCACGGCCACAGCCAAGAGTAGTGCAGACACGTCAAGCAAACGTACGCACCACCACGCCCACTGCGTCACTGCTTCCTTCCCCTGCGGACCTAGGCTGCGGAGTGCGCCGAGAACGGGGGCCATGGCGGCATGGGCCCGCGCGGCGGCCCCTCCAGGCCACGGCCACCGCACCTCCTCGAACCTGTCCCTCGGAACATCTGGCATGAAGTCGCGGAAGAAAATGAAGACCAGGATATGGATAGAGAGGACGACGAGTAAGAACAATAAGTATGAATGAATGGGTTGTCCTGCACACGCCGACGCTGGTGCCGGATCTGTCTACAGAAAAAGGAGGAGTATTCTAGAATGTGATGGCGCCGATGCCTCTCCACATGTGCGTCCTCTGCGCGACCCCACTGCAGTGTGCGTGAGTGCCCTTGAGCGCCGGCCTAAAGCCGCGCAGAAATATTCAACTGCTAGGAGCCCAACTGTGGTACAACGCACTGTTGCTACTCCCCTCATGGCCCTTCCCCTCACCTGCTCCCCCAGGCTCCTAACACTCGCGGCAACTTCAAAAAGAAACAAGCCAGATGCGGGATGCGTCGGAGACAAAACTCGAGGACCTGCCCATCCCCCCGAATTTCTCTCATCATCCATCCGACCCCGACGAATGTGATGAAATCGACTCGCGGCGGCATGCCAGGGGAAGAGGAGGATGAACAGTAATAGTAAGAATAATAAGGAGGAGGATGAAGAAGAAGAATACTAAGAATAAGAAGGCGAATGATAATACGAATAATAATATGAAGGGGAAGAAGAAAGGAGGAGGAGGAGGAAGAGGAGGAGGGAGGATGACTGGGAATACATGTACGAGGCGGGGTTCTTGATCTGGAAGCCGCTTGGTTCCAGAGCATCTGCTTGAGCCTCGAGCTGGAGCTGCTGTCATCACCGAGGCGTTGGCGTTGCTGCCCACAAAAAGCAGGCGGAGGCGGGGGAGGAGGGAGGCGTCGGGAGGAGCAGCGTGGCCCGGGGCTGGGGCAGAGACGGGAGGGGCACGTCGGAGGGTGGGGCACGGGGGCTTGCAGCCCCGCAGAGGGGGAGGGGGGCTGCTGGGCCGCGCGTCGACCGCGCGTCGCGCCGCCGTGCCAGCCGCGGGGGGGGGGGGGGGTCGGTGCCGGCGCGGCTATGGGACCGGCACCGCCGGAGGCACGCCGCGCCTTGCCTCCTCGCGGTCGCCGTCGGGCACCAGGTTCTGCACTGGAGGGAGCCGTTGCTTTTCATCCTCCGCCATCCTTCGATCGGGGGCCCCCAAACGGGGTGGTGACCACACCGTGTGGTGAGTCGGTGGGGATTCGGTGTCACCGCACGGTTTTGGGACTCGGGTCGTGCTCCGAGGACGTCTCGGGCGACTGGGGCCTCCGAGGTCCCAAGACCGCGCGGTGACGGACCGTGCGGTGAGGTCTTGGGGGATATTGAGGTCACCGCATGGTCTGTCACCGCACCTTTTCGGGACTCCCAATTCGAAGAAGGACAAAGAAAGTCTGCGGCGAGCGAGGGGGAGTGAAGTGAGGAGGATAATGCTTTCTCAGAAGGTTCGGAAGTCCCCTGGCCTTCTGAGAAGGGTTCTGAGCCTTCCCCGAAGACAGCAACCAACTGTTCAGAAGGCGCGAGGGATTCTGAGAAGTCCAACCGCCTTCTGAGAAGACCTTCTCCTTCTCCTTTCCCCCTCTTGCTCGCCGCCGGTTCATCCTCGGCCATCCTTCGAAGAAGGAAAAGCGGCAGAAGCATGGCATGTCCGGCTCTCCACGCGAATTTCTTGCGTCGCCGTTGGCTCTGGACGCCCGAAATGGGCACGGAAAGAATGGGTACGATGCCCAACAGCAGTTCTTGTTCGTTCTGAACAGGGCTCGCTGTCCGCGCAGCCGCGGCCTGTGTCCATTCGAGACAGGAGGCCGCCCGCCCAACAGCGGCCGCTGTTGGTTTGGGACAACATTTGTTGTTGGGCATCGTACCCATTCTTTCAGTACCCATTTCGGGCGTCCAAATTGGCGCGCTCCGCGCGCCTCATCCTGCTCCGTCCTCCGCCCGGCCTCCCCCGTGGTCCTTCTCCGTCCCAGGCCCTCTTCCACCGTTTCCCATGCTCCTGCAGCCAGGGCGTGGGAGAGACCCGTTCGCGGCCGCTGCGCGCCGTGGCCACCAGCGCCCCATTCGGTCCCTGTCCGGCGCTGCTAGCTTTGGGCCAGGATTTTGTCCACCATGCTACGCCAGATTTCGTACTAAAAGGGAGGGGGTCTGAACCCTCCCAGACGAGAAGTTTTAGACCCCCCCCGTGGGAGAACCCTCCAAAACATCGTCCCCAGACCCCCCCAGGCCCTCCAAGATAGCCTGGGAGAGACCCCCCCCGAAATGAGACCCCCCTCCCTGCATTACGAAATCTGGAGTATGTGAACTCTGTGTCTGCCATCCAGTGGCAAATGGCGGCCCGACCACAGCGCACACGATTCCTCACTTCTCCTTTTTCACAGTCCCGGGGGGCCGTAAAATCTGCCCCCCCCCCCTCCCCAGAGCAGGACCCCTGGGATCCATGGCCCGGGGGCCCCCCTGGACCTGGACGCCCCTGCAGGAGGGGCCCCCGCTTTCCAGAGCTCCCGGACGCTTCTGCCAGGCCTAAGCAGCGGGCCCAAGGCGGTCAGGAGGGCGGCCGAACGGCCCCCCGAGGGCCCCAAGAGGCCCCAGGCACCCACCAGACGCCCGAAGTCGACCCAAAGAAGATCCCCAAGGGGCTTTCGAAACGCAGAAGAACATGTATTTTTCCAAGGTTTTGGCATGATTTGGGAATGCCCTGTTCTTCGGTCTTCTGGGCGTCCGAGACCGCCCAGGACGCCCGAAAATCGCCCAAGTTTATCCGAAAGGTCCTCCAGGCAGTCCAAGAGAGCCCCAAGATGGCACAATGGGGTTCTTATATGACCCCAAGAGAGCCCATGACGGCCCAAGATAGCCACAATGTGCCCCCCGACGCATTCCAAATCGTGACCAAGTCGTTCAGGGAGACCGCGGTTGGAAGCACGGTGGCCCGAGGAAGCCCCCAGAAGGCGCCCGGGAGGCATCCAAAAGGCCCCTAAGAGCCCTTAAAAATTGTCATGAGGCCCCCCAAAGGGCTCCCCAGGGAGGAGCCTCCGCAAAAAGAGCTGAGGATGATGAGAATAATTCGCAGGGTGGGGCGAACACGAGGAGGAGGAAGAGGAATCATGAGGGAACGATGCTGAAACACATTATGCGAACGGCGGCGTCTGAAATAGGCCGGAAGGAGTTATCGCTAGATTGCCTGGTTTATTTTTCTGCCCGCCCGTCTGCATGGCACACTTCAAGGGCCAGGGTGCATGGCGCGAAGCGCCAATGCAGTCTTATAGATTCTAATATGGATGTACGTATAGATAGGTGTCTGAGTGTGTGTGTGTGTGTGGTGTGTGTACGTGTGTGCGTGTGTGCGTGTGTGTGCGTGCGTGCGTGCGTGTGTGTGTGTGTGTGTGTGTGTGTGTGTGTGTGTGTGTGTGCGTGCGTGCGTGCGTGCGTGCGTGCGTGCGTGCGCGCGCGCGTGCGTGCGTGCGTGCGTGCGTGCGTGCGTGCGTGTGTGTATATATATATATATATAGATGTGTGTGTGTGTGTGTGTTTGCGTGCGTGCGTGCGTGCGTGCGTGCGCGCGCGTGCGTGCGTGCGTGCGTGTATGCGAGAGAGAGGCGGAGTGAGTGTGTGTATGTGTGTTTGTGTGTGTGCGCTGCTCCTTCTGGTATTGGCACGATGACCGTAGCTCCTCAAGGGAGGCAACACGTCGGTTGCCTCTGCGACGCCTCACTGGGAGTATGTCGACCTGGGGGTACGTTGGGGCCTTCCCAAACTCCTCCCTTCCTTCTCCCTCCTCCTCCTCTGCCTCCTCCTCCTTCTCCTCTTCCTCCTCTCTCTCTCTCTCCAGTTCCTCCTGCTCCTCCTCGTCCTCCTCCTCCTCCTCCTCCTCCTCCTCCTCCTTCCGTACCCATGTTGGCTCAAGGTCAAGATGGTGTTTCGACGACTGCCTTCGCGGGGTAGGCTCCGTCAGTTCCCAGTGTTTTTCGTGCTTGCAGCAACCACCAGGGGCGAGTTGCCGCCCACCTCCATATTCGCAGCTACCCATGGGGGCGAGTTACCGCCCAGTCTTCCCGCCTGGTGTTTCGGTGTTTGTCTGGAAGCGAGACGGTGCCCAAACCTCACGGACACCGATCGCCCGGCCCTCGGTCCCCTCAGCATCGAGCTCCCCGAGCCGAATACGCATACGAGTTCACGATATGCAAGCAGTGCCGATACCGTTGGACATGGGAGGGCAGAGGCGAGTACTCCGCCTGCGGCAAGCCCTTCGCCCCTTCGCCAGCGGAGCACATGCAGCCCGAATATGCGTGGGCGGCCGACCCATGGCGCACCCGTTCGCCACCGGCAAAGGAGGAGGAGGAGGAGGAGGAGGAGGAGGAGGAGGAGGAGGAGGAGGAGGAGGAGGAGGAGGAGGAGGAGGAGGAGGAGGAGGAGGATCTTCGACACTCTCGCCTCGCTCCTCGCGGAGGACGAGAAGCGTAAAGGGCTGGTCGGCCAACTCAAAAGTGAGCACTTCAAGAACCTGAGCAGCCTCCACCAGCGCAGCTCCTTCTCCTCCTCGTCGTCCTTCTCCTCCTCCTCCTCCTCCTCCTCCTCCTCCTCCTCCTCCTCCTCCTCCTCTGAGAGCAGGCGCTCCAGTCCGCCCTCTCCGTCCTCGCGGACCGCGAGCGCAGGTTCCAGCATGCCGTGGGCGACGCCGAGGAGGCGCGGCGGTGGCTCGACACCGCAAAGGAGCGCCAGGAGCGAGCGAGCTGCTCTCGAGCTAGTCAAGGCCAAGCGCGTGCGCGAGCAGGCGCAGGAGGAACAACGCCGCAAGCTGGGAGGAGATGCGGCGCCTCGCGAACCGCAGCCAGATCATGAAGGCGACGCCAGGGCGCGCCTACCTCATGGACCCAGAGGCGGGATGGTGGCAGCACTCCAGCACGCTGCTCATCCGCTACACCGCCCTGGCCACCAACGACAAGGACACCCGCACCCAGGGGCAGCTCAGAAGGAGCACCCAGGCGAAGCTCAACCAGATCGACAGCAATGGCCCTCCACCAGGACCACCGGGTCCATGGTCGACCCCACAGAGGCCAACGAGTGGAAGCTGCAGGTCGCCTTGGACTTCTGCGACGAAGGAGACCTCCACCGCATCTGCGCCACCACTGATCGCTGGACCAACATTGCGATGGCCAGGGCGGCGGGCCGATCCCGCAAGCGCTACCTCGATTGGGCCAAGCGGGCCTGGAAGGAGCCCCCTTGCACGCTCCACCGCATTGCGGCGGGCCCGAGCCCCTCGAAGTTCGAGGCCAAGGTCAAAGTAGTCACCGTCGGCAGCCCCTGCACCGTCATGAACAATGCAGCGGGTGTCTGGCGGCAGATCTGGACCACCAGCGCTTGCGATGAGAAGCAAATCATCCAGTCTGACCTCGAGGCCATGCGCCCTGCTCGGGAGGGCCCCCATCCAAGCCATTGAGCCGCAGCACGTCTACGCCGCGGCCAGCGTTGCCGACCCCGAGAAGGCGCGCGGGGGCGATGACATCGGGCCCCTGGACATCCAGCGCCTGCCGCCCAGGGGCATCGAGAAGCTTGCTGCGGTCTACAACTTTGTGGAGTCCAGCGGGCTGTGGCCGCATCAGCTCTGCGCCGCCGCGGGGGCGATGGCCCTCGAGCCAGCGGGCGGCGGGCGCATCCTCGGCGCGCCCCCCGCAGTCGCCGAGAGGCGGGGGAAGCTCCGCGCTACCATTACCAACCAGTGGCTTCATCAGCTCGGCGAGTTCCGGGACACGGCGATCAAGGGCCCCAGTTCCTTGCGTGCTGCCCTCGCGAGAGCCCGCCTTGACGAGACGGCGTCAGCCTTTGGCTTCTCCGGCGCCACCCTCCTCATGGACGTCGAGAAGTTCTATGATTTAGTTTGTTTTACGAAGCTGCTCGACGCGGCCATCCAGGTCAACTCCCCTCCTGCCGCGGCGGCCTTGGAGGCGCTGCTCTTCCTTGCGCCCAGGTGCCTGCGGATGCGCGACTAGGTCAGCGACGCCATCGGCCCGCAGCGCTCCATCGTCGCAGGCTGCGCCCAAAGCGGGAAGCTAGCCAAGGCATGCCTCGGCCCCATCCTGGCGAGGGCCCACCAGGACTACACCCGCGCTGGACTCTGGACCTTCGTAGACGACACCGTCGCCAGGACCGGGGGGGTGCCCGGGCAAGTCGCCAAGGACTTCGCCGCAGTTGGGGCGGTCGTCCGCAACGGAATTGTGGAGGCGGAGCCCAGGGTGTCGTCGAAGACCACCGCCATCGCCTCCAGTCCAGCGGTGGCGCTCGACGCCCACGCCACCCTCGAGCGCGAGGGTTGCCCCATCAAGGTCGCCAGCGCCTCCGTCGACGTAGGAGTCGACGCCGTCGGGGCGCGCAGGAGGGCGGCGGCGAAGGCCACCAAGAGGGCGCTCAAGGCGAAGCGGAGGACAGGCCGCGCCATCGCCAAGATCCGCAGGCACGCCTCGCTCGCCAAGATCGCGAAGGGCCTCTGGGCCACGGGCTCCAGGCCGCATGGAACCCACGGCCACCAGGAGACGGGCCCCTCCCCGAGCGCCATCACCCAGCAGCGGCGCCAGGCCGACCGGGCGATCGCGGGCAAGGTCCCTGGCAGGTGCCTCACCACCACGCTCGCCGTGCTCTTCGGCGACAAGGGCCCTGGCATCGAGCTCCGCAGGCAGACCAGACCATCCTGGAGTAGCTTTCCTTCTGGTTCGCCAACCCGAACCACCACGAGCGCACCACCCACGCCCGGAGGCTCGTCTTCGCGAAGACCATCGGCTACGGCGGCAAGCGCTGGCGCAAGGTGGTCGGCCCCATCTCTGCCGTCCAGGCCATCCTCGCGGGCGCAGGGCGGGGCTGCCCGACTCCCTACGAGTGGTCCCGCCAGCCTCACGGATGTGAGCAGGCTGAGCAGACGCGGCTCCTACCTCACAAGGACTGCGGCGACAAGGGGCAGCGCCGCGATGAGACCGGCCCTTCGCAGTTGGCCCTCGAGTTCTGCCAGACCATCGAGACCGGCTACTGGAACGACGCCGCGGAGCACCTCGACGGCGAGGGCCTCCAGCGAGGCGGAGCCCACGCGTGCGCAATCACCATGGAGATGATCAGTTTCATACGCAAGGGCCAGTTCGACCAGCGGCCCTGAACCCGCGCGTGGTCGCGGGGGCGCAGTGGCCCAGGGAGAGGCTCGCCAGCGCGGGCTACCAATGCGGCATGCCCGAGATGCGGTGCGCCATCCGAGACCCTGATGCACAGGATCTGGCTCTGCCCCTCCAACCGCGACCACGAGGATGACCAGAAATCTGACGCGCTCTTCCCCTTCTGCCCTCGTTGGCGCAGACGCCGTCCCAGCGTGCTGGCTTCGCGGCCTAGCTGCCCGCGCGGACGCGCACCCTGTCTTCGTTGATCTGGGCGGGGGCGGTGGGCGGAGCTGGGTTGGGCGGGACTGGGAGGGGGGCGTCGACTCGGACGGCCCCCTGACCCTGTATGGAGACGGATCGGGGGGCAGTTTAGTGCCGATCCCCGCCGCCGCAGGGTGGGGGCCGCCGTGATCGCCATAAAGAGCCGCTTCGGGGAGTGGGTCCCCTGGGGTGGAGTCCTGTCGGGCCTCGGCGGCCCTGTTCAAACTGTCCCGCGTGCTGAGCCCCTTGCCTTCGCGCTGGCGCTCGAGCATTCCTTTGGCGACTTCCGCTATGTCACCGATGACGTGCCGCTCCTGAATGGGTGGAGGTCGAGCCGCCACCTGCGCTCTCGCGGCGCCAACCTAGACATGGCAGCGCATAGGCAAAGGTGCAAGGTATCGAGGCTCTGGCTCTGTCGCGGTGGAATGGTTGCCCTCTCACAGCGAGGGCGCCAAGAACGCGCCCAACGACACTGTCCGCTTTGCCCGCGCGCTAGGCGACGCATGCGCCGACGCCTGGACTGGAGCGGCCGCCCAGCGCGCGCGGAAGGCAACCCTCCTTGGCGCAGCCCCGCCGACAGACTTGCGCGACGCCCAGCGTGCCCTGATCCGCCGCCGCGCGCGCCGCGCGCTTGCTGACGCACCAGCGGTGGACCCCTGGGTCGCGGAGCGACCCTCGCAGGCCACAGGCGCGCGGCTCACTGTGCTACAGCGCGCCCTCCAGTCCAGTAGCCACTCCTCCGAGCTCTGTGCGAGCAAGTACAGATGCTCGACCTGCCGGCTCACTGCCGGCAAGCGAGCTGCACGCCAAGCATGCGCCACACTATGCCAGCCTGCCGCCCCACTGCCTGTCGCCAGCGAGCAGGTTGTCCCAGTGGAGGGGGCGGCCGCTGTCTTCGGCCGTCCGCTGCGCGACTCTCACAAGCTCCACTTCATGCAGAAGTTTTGCCTGCATGTATGCCGGGAGTGCGGCAAGACAGCGACCGAAGACCCTCGCCATCTTGCCGCCCCGTGCACTGGCGTCACACGTAAGGGCAAAGAGAACCTTGCTGATATTGACAAAGGCTTGTTCACCCGCGCCCGAGCGGGACGCGATGGCCTCACTCCATATGTTCGAGCAGCGGCCCACGGCATGGCCGTGGACGAAGCGGTCGCCGCCGCTGCGCTTGCCGCTCCTGCCGCCAGCGCTACACAGGCTGAGAGTATCTCTTTGAGTTGGGACGCTCCGCATTCGTAGCGTGCGCCCGCGCAGGGCGCGTGGCCTTCTCTTTTCCTAGGAGTGGCGACCCACGGCTAGGCCGTGGATGTCGCCGTCGCCGCTCCTGCGCTTGCCGCTTTGGCCGCCAGCGCGTTATAACCAGTGTCCAACTTTTTATGAACTGGCACGAACCGCACCTGGGTGCGCACCATCGCAATCTCCGCAATCTCCTCCTTCCCCGCTTGTCTTCCTTCTCCTCCATCCTCCGCCCTCCATCCTCCGCCATTCCTCCTCGCTTCTGCTGCATCGCCGCACCGACCGCCCCGACGGAGGCTGACGAATGGCAGGGCCAAGCGCGCAGCCCGCGGTCGTCGTGGGCGGCGGCCCTGGCAAGCAGGACGGCGCGCCCTGCGCAGGAAGGATGAGGACGATGAAGCGGTGGAGGAGTAGGTGGAGGAAGACGAGGAGGAGGAGGCGGAGGAGGAGAAAGAGGAGGACGAGGAAGAGGGGAAGAGCAGGAGGAAGAGGAGGAGGAGCCGAAACAATAGAGGCAGGAGGAGGAGCAGGAGGCGAAGGGATGATGAGAAGGAGGATGAAGAGGACAGCGGAGAGGAAGAGGAAGAGGATAATGAGGAGGAGGAGGAGGAGGAGCGAGGATGTGAGGGACAGGGTGTGGCGGAAGAGCAGGGGGTTGAGGCCTTTCCTCCGCCCTACCTTCCCTTTCCCTTCAACCTTGCACGAGAGGACAGGTGAAGTGGGATGAATGGACAATAATCATGAGGCGAAGGAGGAGGAGGAGGTGGAGGGGAAGGAGAAAAAGGGGGGTAGGGAGGAACAGGAGGAGAGTGAGTTGGATGATTTTGGATGACTGATGGAAGATCAATAAGACGGATGATGCTGATGATGATGATGATGATGATGATGATGGTGATGGTGATGGTGATGGTGATGGTGATGGTGATGGTGATGGTGATGGTGATGGTGATGATGCTGCTGATGATGATGATGAGGATGAGGATGGTGGAGGAGAAGGAGGAGGAAGAGTATAATGACACTGATGGGCGGCATGATTCCCTTGAAGGCCCCTCCGGCCTCTATCCGACTCGCTCCCGTCCACCTCTTCGCGCCTGTTCTTGCCTGCTCTTCTCCTGTTCCCTGCTTCATCCTCTCTTCTCCTCCCTCCTTGGACCTTGTTGCCTGTTCCCTCAGCCGCTTCCTTGCTCCTCCCCCAATGTCCGCCATGAAGGTGAGTGAAGACAGGGACGGGCGAGGAGGATGTGGAGGAGATGCAGGTGTTATATGGAGAGGACTATGACACACACATAGATACATATCTAAACATATATTTAGTTATCAAGTGGATGCAGGAGGAAAAGGATCAGGGGTGGGAGGATGATTAGTGACCAGGGCAATGACAGCTCATGAGGCGTAGGATGATGAGGATGGCGTTCAGTGATAAAGGAAGGGCCAGCATAATAGCGCATCTTCGAAAGTAGATCGCACAAATCCTGTGGAAAATGCCTGGGGGAGTACAGAGGCGGAGGAGGAGGGGAAGGGCGATGCGGAGCGGAGCACGGGGTCGGCAAGGGAGGGGTGAGCGGCCGGGGCGGAGGGACGCAGGCGATGAGGAGGGAGGGTATTGGGCAGGGCAGTACCCTCACTTCACCCTCCCCTCTTGGACAGACGCACGCACTTTCCAACAAGGGCCGATGAGGTGCAGGGGTGGTGCAAGAGCTCTGATCGGCGGCGAGTGTGCAGCGCGGGAACAGGCCGGAGTCGGCGGAGCCTCGTGGGCGAGCAACTGTAGAATTTTGCTGCCCATGATGGGTGTTGTTCCGTTGCCTATTGTTCATGGTGTATTCTCAAGCGCAAATGCGTTGTCGCGCGGATGCATGTGTACTCCAGATTTCGTAATAAAAGGGAGGGGGTCCGGACCCTCCAAGACAAGACATTTCAGAGCTCCCCTGTGGGAGAACCCTCCAAAACATCGTCCCCAAACCCCCCAGGCCCTCCAAGATAGCCTGGAAGAGACCCCCCCCGAAATGAGACCCCCCTCCCTTTATTAGGAAATCTGGAGTAACAGTGTTCGAATCAGTCCACATAGGCTCGGGCGTGCATGTAGTGGACAGTGCCGTTGATTTCTCTTGGCGCGCGTGCGTGGGCCGCGTGATGTATCTTCACAGGGGCGTTGCCCCTTTACAGTCGGGGCGCCGAAGAAGGAACCACCCTATTCGTTGAGGAGGTTCGGATGCAACTCCTGGGAGGTCAAATTCTGATTTTGCCCTGGTCCGAAATCCGGCGTAATCCCGCTTAATCCCGCTTGGAGGGGCTCGGTGCTCCTTGATTGTTTCACAGTTTGCAACAGGTTTTCCTCAGGTTTTTCATGGGAAATCGAAACTTAACTTTTGGGGAAATAATGCGCCTCGTGCCTTATTTAGGGTTCCTTAGGTCAACGCCCCGACTGCAGCGCCGATGATGCAACCTTTTAACCGTGTGCGCGCGGGTGACTTGTGCAGTGTTCTTCGACAGGGATCGTTGCACTTCTCCGAGGCGGGAATTTACACATGATTACCGCCTGGAGGGTCAGTTTCCAGCGACCTCGGCAGGCGGTGGATATGGACATATTCGTGCCCCTGAGGGCCAACATACACCCATCTTCTGTAGGTTCGTTGGGATCTCGTGGTCTCGGGGGCCTCTGGGAGGCAGTTTTGAAGCCACATCGGGGCCGTTGGGGAGCCTCTTTTGGGCCCCCTTGGGGCCTCTCGGGGGGCCTTTTGGGAGCCCCTTGGAGCCTCTCGGGGGCCCACTGGGGCTTCCTGGGAGCATCTTGTGGCCGAAGGCTCGAGTCGTCGGTTCGTGCTCCCCTTCTTGGGCCCCTCTTGGGGCCGCCCTGGAGCCCTCATGGGGCCTCTCGGGCGCTTCCTGGGCCGTTTCGGGGGCCTCCTGGCCCGTCTTCGAGATCTCTCGGGGCCCTCCTGGGTGGTCGTTGGGCGGTCTTAGGGGCCGTCTTGGAGCGTCGGCCGCTCGAACAGGCGAGAAGCCCAGAAACACTGGAGAACCCTCTTGGGAAATCGGTGCATTTTGCTTCTTGGGGCCCTCTTCAGGCTCCTCTTGGAGCGCTTTGGGGGCCTCTTGGGGGCCTCTTGTTCTGTCTTGGGGCCATCTTGGGGGCCTCTTGTTCTGTCTTGGGGCCATCTTGGGCGTGGAGGAGCTCTCTGGGGCCGTCTTGGCGGCCTCGGCGGCGATGCTGCCCCCCACCCCCTCCCCCTTGCCTGGCCAAGCCGCCCCAGCACCCTTGCTCCTGCGGCGCGGGAGCGGCCCTGGAATTCGCATCCCCCCACCACCTCCAATCCGCAGCAGAGCCACCCCAGCACGCAGCCCCCCCAGCAGAGCTGAAGCTCAGGCTGTAGCTTTTTGTTGTACTCGCGCGCTGGATCGGCGGATTTGATAGGGGATTCGGCCCGCTTGATTCTGAAATTGGTGTTCAGAGGGGCATATGTATAGCGAGCATAGCCTATTTGCGTGGACTGCCTGAGGATTCGGCAGTGCATAGCCTATTTGCGTGGACTGCCTGAGGATTCGGCAGTTCACCATCGCTATGGAAAAGGGACTTGATCACGCCCCTGGAAGATGCACCATCTTACACCATATCCCAAGCCTCTTACTACATGGTCCTCATCTTGCTGTTTCCTGCTTGGCGCTAGCCGCTAGCGTGTGCCCTGCAATTTTCGCCCGGGCGCTGCGCGCGTGTGGCCCGCATGGTAAATACCATTTCGAGGGCCATGCCAAGGGCCAGATGCGGCCCGAGGCCCTGGTCCAGCTTGAGGGGGAGGTCATGTTGAGTGCGCGGGCAGGAGGGGGATCGAGGCAAGAGAGCGCGAGAGGATAGGAATGAGGGGTGAGGAGGGAGTGAGGAGCAAGTGAAGAGGGGGTGTAGGTGCAGCAGCAGCAGCAGCAAGAGCAGCTCCGCCAGCGTCGCGTGGTGCGCGAGATGAGCAGGAGCGCCGGGAGGTGCTCCGTGCGACGCTCACCGCCCCGTCCCCCCCTCGCCACTCCCTCTCCCGCCCTCCCCCTTCCCCCCCATTCCCTCCCTCCCCCTTCCCCCTCCCTCCCTTCCCCTCCCTCTCCTCCCCTCCCTCGCCACTCACTCCCCCTCTCTCCCCTCTGCTCCCGCCTGCCCCTCCCCGCATCCCGCCACTCGCCCCCCTCCTCCCCCCCTTGCCCCCCGGAGGCCCAATATGTGGCCGGCCACGCCCAAACCTGGGAAACCTCCTCCTCCTCCACTTCCCCCTCGCCTTCCTCCACTCTCCACTTCCCAAGCCTTGGATCCCCCCCGTCCTAAGCCCTGGATACGTCCTGGATCCTTCTCCTCCTCTTCCTCCTCCTCCTCCTCCACTCCCTCCTCCTTCCTGGGTCCTTCCTCTTATCTTCTGCTCCTCCTCTCCTTCATCTGTTCTGTGGGGGCTCCTGGGCCGACAGATTCCTCTCGCTTCGCGGGGTGCACGTCTGGAGCACCTAAAGACTGGGCGTCTGGTGGTTTTCCCTGCACGTCTGTCGCGCCGGTTCGCCGTGTCGTTCTGCCCGAACTGGGACGTTGCCAACGCCATTGGGGCCTCTGGAGGGCCTCTGTGAGCTGCTCGGAGTATGTCCAGTCAAGTTCTTTGGAGATCTCTGGAGCCTCTCTTGGGATTTCCTGGGGGCTTCTTGGGAGCCTGTTGGGGACTTCCTTGGGGGCCTCTGCGGAATTCCTGGAGGTCTCTTGGGTGTGTGTTGAACCGTCTTGGGTGGTTTCTTGGGGCCTCTTGGGGGCCTTTGGGGGGCCTTTTGGGTGCCTCTTGGGGGCCTCTTGGGGCTTCTTGGGGGCGTCTTGGGCCGTCTTGGGGTGCTCTTGCGCCGTTCGGCCCCATCGGAGGCTGTCTTGGGGCCGCCTTGGGGCGATCTTGGGGTCCTCTTGGGCAATATTGGGGGCCTCTGTGACCGTTTGGGGGGCCTCCTTG